ATGCGGTCTTCATCTAGGATGTGACTTCTAAGATGCGGTCTTCATCTTATCCTTTGCGAGATGCGATCTTCATCTCTCCTTCTTCCTCAGATGCGATCTTCATCTAAGATGTGACTTCTAAGATGTGGTCTTCATCTTATCCTTTTCAAGATGCAGTCTTCATCTCTCCTTCTTCCTCAGATGCGGTCTTCATCTTATCCTTTGCGAGATGCGGTCTTCATCTTATCCTTTGCGAGATGCGGTCTTCATCTTATCCTTTGCGAGATGCGGTCTTCATCTAGGATGTGACTTTTAAGATGTGGTCTTCATCTTATCCTTTGCGAGATGCGGTCTTCATCTCTCTTTCTTCCTCAGATGCGGTCTTCATCTAGGATCTGACTTTCTAAGATGCAACTTCGTCTCTTTTTTTCTTTTTCTTTTTTGAGATTAAACTTCATTTTTCTTCTTCCTGAGATGCAACTTCATCTAGGATGTGATTTCTAAGACACAACTTCGTCTTTTCTTTTCTGAGATGCAACTTCATCTCTTCTTCTTCCTGAGATGCAACTTCATCTAGGATGTGATTTTCCAAGACGCCAACTTTGTCTTTTTTTTTTTTTGAAGATGCAACTTGATCTCTTCTTCTTTGACAAGGATCTTGAATCAAATTAGAATTTCTTCAAACCTCAAATAATTGTGCCTCTTGCCAATGTTCAATTCCATCTTGAACTTTCATCAATATCATGACTTTGCACCTTACAGGCTCAAGAGATTCAAATGTCCTTTAGTGTCCTCTTGAGCCGTCAGTAACCTTTTCCCTCTCTGATGATACTTTGAATATTATGAACATGTTTGATTCACCCATACTATCATCAAGAATTCAATGTATCTACTTGTCTTTTCTCTTTCTTTTTTTTTTTTAAGTCAAATCCTACATGCAAAAAAATGATGATTTTTGAACCTTTCAAAGATGTTAAAATCAATGTCAAATGTAGTGATGTTTAAAACAATCATGGGTAAGATTAACGAAAAATCTTGTGAAGCACAATAGATTATATGAACAAATAATGTGATTTAACTTCCATGAGTAACAACTACCAATTTGACCTAGAATACAATTAAGATGCCCTTTTCATAAATTCTCTCTCTCTCTCTCTCTCTCTCTCCTTCTTCTTCTTCTTTTTTTTTTTTTTTTTTTTTTTTAAAGAAATGATAGTAGCATTATAATACCAAGGTTTTGGCAGAAACCCAATAAAGTTAGCAATACATAAAAG